CCCAAACCCCAAAACAAACCAACCCCCACCCCCAAACAAAAAACAACCCAAACCAAAAACGCTGCATCTGCTGTTGCCTTAACTTTGGATAGCTTTTCTGTAGCAGATAGTTCATAAACTGATATCCTAATTAAACTGTAGGTAGCTCAAACAAGGTATAGGCTATTAGATTACCCTATAATTCATGCAGACTTCAAGGTTCACAGAATTAGTATGTTTTCATTTCGAAGCTGTGAGATCTTGCTTGAATTTTTTTACAATTAATACTACATAATGTGATAATGAGAAGAGTCTCCAGTTATCAGGTGTTAGAATATCCGTGGCAAGCAAGTGAGAAACAAGGAAAGAAACAGACTTACAGTTCAGCTCACTACTTGTAACCTCCCAGTTTCTCATTTTGGTACAGAGAAGTCTGCTATATATATACCCTTGGTCAGGTTTCATCATCTGTGAAAGTGAAAACAATTACATTTACAATGTTAAGTGATATTGTGAAGACTAATGAGCTATTGATTGTAAAGTACTCCTATGCTGTTTGCTGTCATGCATTTTTTACCAAATTCAATGTCTGTAACAGTATTCCCTTAATCAAAACAATTTTATGTACCCAAAAAAAAGTTTTAATTAGAAACATTTATTAGATATATATAAGGGTATCCATGTTCACAAAGAACCTCATCAGTGAGCTGTGCTCTATAAAACCATGGTTCCACTTACACAGATGCTGCTAGGCAAGAATTGCAGCCCATATAGCACCTTCATAATTCATTCTGTATTCTTATTTTCTCCCAGTATTCAGATTATGTAAATTAGTCTACTGAGTTTACTAGCTGTGCTGATTTACAGCACCTCAGAATTTGCAGCATTTCTCATTTGAAAAATATTGTTAAAAAGAAATTGGATACTTTCAAGTAAATAGGTCCTTACAATTTCAAATATCCTAACACATACCAAAGTAAATAAGAGCTTGATTGCTCCATTTTGTAATTTATTAGCTGGATGCTTTGAAATCCACTGTGGACAGAACTGCTGCTGATCTAGAGTCTTTGAGAACACAAGTAACCAATTTGAAGAAAGAAATTCAGAAAAAACAAGCCAGGTAAGAAACAGACCTTTACAAATATCATTTGTAGGGGTTAGTAATATAATCAAATTCTTGAGCTAACAAAGAACCTTAAATGATGCTGATGATTAAAACCTCCAACTTTCTGGTTACTTCATGTCCTGCATAGTTTCTGGCAATGGGCAATTTAGGAAATACTCCTGGTAATCCTTGTTTTTAAAGGGCATGAAAAAATCAGTTAGGGCCTCGGTTATCATAGGTTCAAGTTTGGCCTGCTTTATTAGGCAACTGCTCAGTAAGGTATGTTGCTTGGTTTTGGCAGTGTTGGATATGCAACATACATTTAACTTGTTAAATCATGTAATTTTGTGTAGATTAAGCTTTCTTAAAGAAAAAAATGCAAGTCTTTCCAATGAGCTGAAGCTTGTGACTGAGGAGACGCTCAGTTCAGAAGACAAAGCTTTGAGGATGGAAGAAATACTAAAGGAAGAAGAAAAAATTGTCAAGGTAAAATGTTTTTCATGATTTCTGCAAATGATGATTCATCTGAATTTGCAGCTCTATCTAGAACAAACATTTATGGATTAAAATAGAATGTGAGTATTACTATGACATGATTTCATCAAATGATGAAACATGCGTGTAGATACATCAGTATCTGTGCTGAGAAAAGTCTGGAGGAAAATAAGTGGTCAAAGTAATTCAGAAGATGATGTCCTCATATTAACATAGGATACTGGAATGGTCATTGTACAGATCAGATATAAACCCACTATTCTGACTGCATCAGTGTACTGAACAGGGCACTTCACCTCTGACATCAGCTAAAAGCTACTTAAAACTTCTTAGCTAGATTGAAATAAAAGTTAATTACTGGAACATGGTGAATTTGATTGTAAAGATATAGTAATGTTTTTCTTCTGCTTTGTAATAATACTGAAAAATTTCAAAATCTTGTAGTTTGCTTAGCTCTTCTGGGAGTTCATGTTTCCAAACATTCTGTTTTATGGGCTGCTGAGGAGTAAGGGTCCTTGAACTTCTATCAGTTTCCCACCAATTAAGGAGTGAGAGTCTTGTCAGGATGACTTTTCAGTAACATTACCACTGAAAACTTCTTGGCTTTAGTATACCACCACCAAAGCTTACAAACCTGCAAAGAGCTATGGTTTTGGCAAACTGGGATTAAAAAAGATTTTGACATCTTTTAATCAGATTTGGCTGGCCTAGTCTCCTCTTCATTGATTCTACTACATGATACTCTGATGCTTCTAACTTGTTGCAAACTATTAAATAACTACTGGCTCACTTTAGATTTCATTTTCATGATGAATTAAGATTTTGATCTGTTAACGTATTATAGCATGTACAAGCTGTAATATGGTAACTATTTTTTTAACGTGTCTAATCATCCCTTTTTTAAATTCAAAACCCAAATTAAGTATAGGAATAAAAATATCCTAATTTATTATCATTTGATGAACTGTAAAGGACTTCTGAATAAATGCAATATTGTAATGCAATCATCTGAACTTTCCCACATTTGAGAAAATGTTTCTGTGTTGTCATTTTGCTACTAATTCTCTTAAAATATTTTACTACTTAGCTTCTGACTGAACTTGATAAAGAATATTGTTTTGTTTTTTTTTTAATTTTCTGGACAGTTGAGTATTGGATATGCTGAAGCTTTCTTTACTGTAAAATGACCAGGTTAAATTAATGTGACAGCAGGCATTCCCACACAAGTGATGCTGTATCTGTGCATACCCCATATATTCTTTTTCCCCCCCATTTTGTGTTTCCTGTAGCACGTATGTGAAACAATCCCTTGCAGTAAATTGCTACTTTCCAAACTTTTTAACTCCACAAGGCATTAACTATACATTTTAAATATACATAAAGAAACTAGAGAGGGGATGTCTTGTTTTGGTTTTTCAGATAATTTGAAAACAAATTGGAATGATAGAACATTTCATTAAGATTAAAACCTTATTTGCTTCCCCTTAAGACTGTTACCAGGGTGGCTAAACCATTAGCAGGGTTTCTCTACTTGCATCTGTGGCGGATAACCTAAGATGACATTGAGCTTGGCAGCTCCACAGCTTCAGGGTAATATTTTAACTAGTATGAACTGTTCTTGAACAATGTCTGTAATGTATTAGTCAGAAGCATGCTTTCCATCACCATTAGACACACATGGTTATTTGCTGCATCTATTAATTTACTGTGAAGAGATATTTAGAGGAACAATGTGGATGAAATGTCACCATTTTGCGCTTTAGTTCTGTGACATTTCTCCTTCTTCGATCTGTGGCAAAACACTGTTGCACAGGGAAGCTTAATGAATATCTTATCTCTATTAAGAACCTCACTTAAAGGGAGAGAAACAATTTCTATTAATTAAATGAATTTAGATATGCAAGAAAGATTACGAAATGAATGTCAAATCATGATCAGTTTTAGTAGACAAATTCATTGTTGTCATTAGCTTTGGAAATACAGCTCAATTGGGCACGTGCAGAAAATAATTTTACTTCTGAAATTAAATTCCTTTGTTCAGGCATGATCCAAAGCCCACTGACATCAGCATAAAATGTTACAGGCCATAATGATTTCCTATTAAACTTACACCTGCTTTTTACTTCCTGAGTTTTGGATTTTGGAATTGCACTTAGAGCAAGTTCAACTACAAAAACATTGTTTGGTAGAATGTGATTATGAACTCTTAGAGAAGGAGTTATCAATTATTATGTTGTTGTTATTAACAATGTAGAAAAGCAAATCCTAAGCTGTGTTGCTATATTAATTTAAAGGTGCATTTTCAAAGTTTGTACCAGACTTGAGCTAAATGTAAATGAGCCTTTCAGGAACAGGATTGTGATGCCACCTCACTCATTTTGGAGATGTACCTTACACGAAACTATCATGCTGAACAGCCTGAGCTTTGGAAGGTCTTTGGTTATTTAGGTGGGGGGGTGGAAGGAGGGAGAGAAAGAATAAAGTTGCCTTCCTTGTTACCGTTATAAAAAGAAAATAATCTCTATTTTGTTTGTTTTCAGTACGTTTCAGATACTTAAAATGTTCAGCATTGTATTACTGTAACAGACCCTACCAAACCCTCATTTCCTGCACTGATTTAGGTGTTAATGGCAACTTACCTCTGAGAATAAGGAAGTGATTGTAAAATGTGTAATTAATTTTTCAAACAAAATTATTCTAACTTATATAAACACACATATGTACATACATGTGCATACACACAGAGTTACAATTTTAATAAACCAGCTTTGTATTGTATTTCTTCTTTGAAAAGCTTTGTATTGTATTTCTTCAAATAGTCACATATACTAGAAGCAATAAGGAGGGTTTTTTTGAAAGGATGATGGGAATTCAGTTTTCTGAAAGCTGAAAAGAGTAGCATTCCCATAATGAAAAAAAAAAGTCATGTAATAGTAGGGTAGGATCCAAGTTTTAAAAAAAAAAATTACTTTCTCTCTAAGGGAAAGACTTTTCTTGCTAACCATTTTGAAGACTTATGAAATTCCATGTTCATATTAATGGATATAGTATTGAAATTTTTTGCTCTTCCTATATTTGATTGATAAAGGCAAGTAATTCCTTAGAAATGATTTCTTATGTGATTAATTGTGTCTTACTACTTAATGATTAATTTGTCACCAGGAAAAAGAAACAGAAATGAACCAGCTAAAAGAACTACTTTTCAAGAAGACTCAAGAGTTAAAGGTACAGAAGGATAAGGAGAAGTGTGTTCTAGCAGAAATTGAGGGAAGTCAAACATCACTTAAAAATCTTAAGAATCGACTGCACAGACTTGATGAAGATGCGTTAAAACAACAAGAATTAATATATAACCAGGTAAAATATTAATGTACTTTCATACTATGATTGCTTCTTGGGTCTAAAGAGAATAAATTGCTTGAGTTCTGTAATAGTTGCCAACATCTTACCATTTTGGAAATGCCGTGCTGTATAATTTGAAGTCAGTGTTTATTTCTGTCTCTAAATGTATGGATAAAATTGAAATATCTGAAACTTACTATAGTATCACCTACATTATGCACTTGTGTATTTAATTATTTTTTGGATCTGCTGCTTTTCTCACTAATTTCTCAACTCCGTTCTTTACTTTGATCCCACTGAACCACGGACACCTCAGGGTAAATTTTTAAAGCAATACAAGAGGTACATGCCAAAATCCTGTTATTTACTAATTGGATTTTATGCATGTTTCCTATGCATCACTTTGAAAATTTGCTCTTTACATCAGCATCCATTGGCAACAGCAAGATGGCAACTCCACTGTAAGCCTCCCTACAGCAGACTGTGCTGACTATGCTTTGTCTATAGTCTTCTAGAAGATTACTCCTGAACCATCACTGCACATCAGTCATCTAAGAGTATTTTTCAAATGAGGTCTATAAGCCATAAATTATTATAAAAACAATAGCTTAATTGGGTGACTGTCCTAAAGCCGACATTTAGATCCAAGTTTATATCCAGTGTTTTAGGTTTATAGGAAGCCTATAATTGCTTATCTCAGACTATTAATTCTCTTAAAAAATATTTTAACAGGATTTTTATATTCAGCAAGTACAGAGACGGCTGTCACGGTTAGAAGGGGAGGTTAATGCAGATGAAAAACAAGTTTTGGAAGCAAAAGTTGCTGAACTTAAGAAAACCTTAGAAGAAAAGAAAAATGTGTATGATGTTTTACATGTGCAGCACAAGAAACTTCAGGTAACTTCCTTAGAACATCAGGTTGACTGGGTAACATCTAGAAACCCCAGTAAATTAAGCAGATTGGGTCTTATTAGTTAATAACTTGGTATTAAATGAAAAGATATCTGAACTTCATGTAATCCGTGTGGAAAACTTCATACATTCCCTATACTTTCCAGAAAAATAGGTCATTACTGCACAACTGAGGCACCTTAGCAGAAAGACAAGCATTGACATGTTGGAAAGGCAGGTTTAGCTTTCATTTCAAGGTATGACTGACTGCTTGCAAATGTCTGAATTTGTTGTTAGGACCATGTAGAAATAGGAGAATGTTATTCTGCTACTACTTACTTTTATATTTTTTTTGGTAAAATGATAAGTACAGATGGCATTTAAAATTGTACAAAGTAACATTACTGAACTGAAGGGATGGTATTTGAGTTAGCTGACCGCATCCTGATAGGTAATTCAGAAATACTTTTTTTCTGTCTTTATTCTCATGTGAGAATTTTGCATATACATGCTTGTTCTCTGGTTTTCCACTACCCAGTGATCATTAATTCTCTAAAAAATGCACTCACCTTTTTTGTAGATATGAACAGGTCAGTTATTCTGTAGCCGATTTGTAATTTCTTTTTATAAGAAATGTATTTGTTTGTTAATCAGCTACATTTTAGCATGTTTTGAAACCTCTTTTCAAAGAGAAACCATATGAAGACCAAAGTCAGGTTTCTAATAAAGCATCACAACTGGTTTCTCAAAGTGATAGGAAAGAAAAAATTTGATCAATTTAGTGAGGGGAAGAAACTGCTTATAGAAGAGAGCCCTTTAACTGGAGATCCATGCAATAACAAGGTTTAATGTTGGGCACTTCAGTTTTGAGGAGGTGCAAAATTTGAACAGTGAGTGTAATCAAACATTGAGACACACCTTCAGGAATTTATTCATACTCTGGAGTATTATCAAAGGCAGATGGTTTTATGAACTACAAATATCAAAGTCATGGTCAGACATACCTGGACATTTTTTTATCTAGACCAAAATACATGATTATATTAGAATTGCCTTATTGGTTGAAAGATCTATATTGCATACATAACAATTACTACACTCCAGATAAAACAAGCAATGCCATTAATATTGCAACAGTGCTCTGCATGAGGACTGCAGTGCTCTAGGCACTGTTTGCAGAGCAGCATATGGACACAAGATGATGATGGTTGCTGGTTCCAGGACTTAAAAATATCTTGTTTAAAACTAACTGGTAGCTTTTGGTGCAAACTACATTCACTGAAATAAATTAAACATAACTTATTTGGAAACAGAGTGATGTCCATTTCATCAAGAGAGCAATAGAGAAGACAGGAGAAGAAACAAATGGTATGATGATCAAGATAAATGAACTAAATCTTTTCAATGAGAGATCAGATCAGGAATTAAAAAAAGCTAAAACCATTAAGCAGGTACAGTATTATTTTGCAACTGGGATCTTTAAGAGGTGGGGTTTTTTTAATTTTTCAAAGTGTTTGCATGCTAACGAAGTTCACACTTCATGCTTTTCATAAGCTTTGGTATATGTAAATTTGCTTATATAACAACACAACTTGTAGATCTACAGAATCTACAACCTATTCCAAGACAGTTATAATGGTTCAAGTGAGATACTAACTGCTTAAGAAAGTTCCTTGTAAGGTCTGCTTAATTTCTTTGAAACCACCTAAACCGAAAGCAAGCTGCAGGTGGAAAAGTCTAACAACCCATAACTCAGTCTGAATTAGAAAGTCTGATGAATTTGTATAAAACCATTCAGGAAACAATATACCCCTATCGCACTCACCATGTAAACTGTTAGCAAATGAGAAAGTGAGAACACTTTTAAATGCAGAGCAAAATGAGTCTTACAGTTGTATATATATTAAAGATAAAATAATGGATGCTTTATAAAAATTGTTAACTTATTAACTGTTATAAATAATCTTAATTAAGAAAGCATTGTTCTTATTTTGAGACCTTTTTGGCATTAATTAGGAGATGATGGTCGAAGATAATCTCTTAAAACTAGAATTGAACCGTCTTCAAGATACTCTGTGTAGTAAGACAGAGAAAGTTCTAACACTGGAAAAACAAAAACTGCAGTTAAAGAAAGCTATAGCAGAAAGAACTGAGGAAATTAAGATTCATAAGGCAATGCTTGATTCCCGGATAAGACTTGTAGATCAGGAACGGCAACGCATAAGGTAACTATTTTTATATAAATTGAACTTGTAACTTTTATTGAGTACATTTTGTATGGGGGCTTCCTGGAAAAGAGAAGCATTTTACCCAGTGTCACCAATTAAAGAAATTGAGGATGAAATAAATCTTGCTCAAAGATACATACTGAGCCAGTTGAGGCTAGTAAGAGATCCCTTCTCTGAAATCCACTCTACAGCTTTAACGACTTGGTGAACAAGAGTACCATTTATTCTGTTAGTGAAGATCCTCCACAGTACTGAGAGGAAACCTCAGTTGCAGACATCTTTTTAAAGTGAATGTCATGCATGTGACCCTGCATTTTTAAAAATAATCAGAAAATGTGAATTGGGTGTGTCTGGAGGTATGGCAAAGTATTTAAAACAGAAAAGATGCTTTCAAGGGGGATACTCCCAACTGCTTGATAAAACTGATTTCTTTGACTCGTATAGTAAGTCTGGTTTTGGTTTGTTGGGTTTTTTTCCAACAAATGAGCTCTCCATCGTGTGTCCTATATAACAAAATTAAATCTTCTGAATTATATATCTACCCTCTTATAAAGCAACCACATAGGAAATAACTTTTTCCTTCTGTAATAATCACTGCAAAGTATCTGGGACAGTTTTAGCTCTGAAATCCCAGTATCTATATCCAGCCAAAAATCAATGCTTCAGCAGCTCAACTGCTGAAATTTGGCAGGCTTTTTATTCACTCCTCTGCTAACCACACCCCACACAATAGGAAATTAGAGTGATTTAGTGTGACTGAAGCTTAACTGCTCACCCAGAGTGCAGACTGTGTGGCTTTTTCCTTTGATAATTACACAGCTAATTGATACTTCCATATAATTTGATTTGGGGTTGTTGCCTACTGTTGCTTACGCTCATCTAGTAGAGGCAATATTAAGATAATATCAGCAGGGGGCAGCTTGTGCAGCTGTAGGATTTAAATGCCAAACCTTTAAAAATTTTTGGGGAGGACTGTGGCACAGCCTCCCAGGATGCAGTGATCTGGAATATGAAAATAAACTTGACTTGGTTTAGAACTGCAAGAGAAGTGTAGATAACAAAAAAAATAGATGAGTTTGGCTGGGAGAACACGGAAAACAACAAAAAACAGCAGCAGCACAACTACTGCCCTGCCTGCCTCCCAGTGCACGGGCAGGCTGCTGGAATAACACCAGTCATTTAAACTGCCCACAAAACACTACCAGCCAAACACTTTCTCAACCCATTTATTTTTTTCCCCTAATAAATCAGTGCTGAATTTCAAGATCGTCTAAATAAAATTGATAAGCTGAGATGCAGATATGAAATTCTTACTGTTGTCATGATGCCACCTGAAGGAGAAGAGGAGAAAACTCATACCTACTATGTAATTAAGGTATTTTATTGATGTAATTCATTATAATTCCAGTATTTAAGCTATAGATCTCCCTGGGCTCTATTCAAGTAACTAAGACAACCTCCTTGCTTACTACTTACTTTAATTGTTTTATATTATTTGACACTGTTGATTATTTAAATGACACAGCAATTTCACATGAATCTCTGGTCAGTCCTAATGTCAGTGGAGGTTTAATTTGGAGCAGTTTGAAAATTTTCACTTCAGTGCTCATTAATTTACAAAGACACAAGAAGTACTGGCCACATGGTAATCCACTATAAACTGAAAACAAGTTTATCAGTCTCTCACATGACCTTAAATTCTCCTGCCCTTCAGAGTTATTTTTAGATATAAATACCATATGGTAAAATAAATACCTTGAAGAATGTCAACTTTTCCTTTTTACTTATCAATCATCTATGCATACGTCAGCTTTTCAGTGGAAAAAAAAAAGGTTTGCATATACCATAATGCAATACCCTGATTCTGGAACAAGAATCTATTATTTTTGATTTTTTTTTCTTAAAGCAAAATGCTTCTAGATGCGATCTTGGCTCTGAAGTCCAGCTTTTTGTCATTTCTAAGTGCTAAATTTCTTAATTGTGGTATTTGTGCTACTGTGAGATCCAGCACAGCAGACGACTAGGGAGATTTTTTCACTGCATCACATTTTCTGAGAGAAAACAGAGATAAGCCCCATATCTGTCTATGATTTTAACCCCTCAATATTGCAGGGCTGGGTTTTTTTTTTTTTTTCTCCTGTGTAATTGCCCTAATATTTTCAGTATGCTTGCAGCCACCTGAACTGTCAGTTTTATTTTCAGGCTGCACAGGAAAAGGAAGCACTTCAACATGAAGGTGATGATTTAGATGCAAAGATCCGCAAAGCCGAGAAAGAAATTGTAGCTCTGGAAAACACTTTGTGCGTACTTAATAACTGCAACAGCAATTACCAAAACTCTTTCAAGGAAGTCACTGAGACAAGTATGTAAAACAGAAATTGCTATTTTCTGTGTGAGTTATGGATGGTGGTGTAACTCAGGTATATAGTGGGGAAATTCCATGACACAAAAGAATGAATCACAGAAACTAAAGTGATAGTAGCAAAAGGGAGAGTAATTCATGTGCTACTGTGAATAGTTCAGAATAAGCACAGAAGACAGCGGAGTAAGGTATAATTAAGTAATATTTATGTTCTATGTGATGTGAAAATCTCTAAGCCTATATAAATTTTGTGAATAGTCAGAAGAGGCAAAGCATAAAAATTATTACTGGGGGGGGGAAAAGTTACTAGGAGAAAGGAGTGCCCACTGAAGTACGTAGGTCTAGTGGATAAAACTCCACACAGTACAAAACCCACTACTTTTGCTGTAGTGGTCCATCACACACAGCTGGTGATTCAAATGATGGAAGCAGAAGAAGCTGTGCCACTGCTGGCTGCCTCATGGGGGACTGAGCCAGCCAGGGCACAAAACTGTGCCCAGAGCAATGCTACGGGTAGCTTTGGTACATGTACACTAGCGGTGAAGACCAAGCCTTTAACCACACTATTGTGATCTCTGATTTTCACATGGAAGGGGGGGGAAAAAGTAGTAACCTGTTCTCTGGGAAAATGATGAGGAAGAGTAAAACTTAAACTGCTCTATTTTAGTGTAGTGTCAGCAGATTTTAAAATACGGACTACCTAACTACAAGTTTTTAGATATTGGAAATTCCTCAGAATCCTAAAAAATATCTTCACCTGCTGTTTTTGTTGCCACTTAAGACTTCATAAGCTTGCTCTCCTTCAGTGGAACCTTCTTTGTTTAGCTTATAAAAAGCATCACCATGAGTAATGGTTAACTTTTGTGCCCTCTGCTGGCTCTGGAAACAGTAGCTCTTAAAGCATTCTCTCTCTTGAAGCCAGTTACTTTTTCACAGTGATTTGAAATTAGTAGTAGACTATTCAAAAAAAAAAAAAAACAAAACACCCTTAAACCTGTAACACTCTGTGATGCAGTTACTTTAAAGTGCAACTTACTTTAAAGTGAAAACTGAGTTGTATACACTGCTCATCCAGCATTAATGCTGCCTCTTTGGGACTGCAGGTGAGGAGTATGAGGAAAAATTAAAACTAGAGGAGGAGAAAAGGGTTGCTGATGAAAAATACAGATACAAACGAAGACAGATCAAAGAACTTCAGGAAGATCTCCAGGTAAAATATAAGCAAAAGTTCTGGCCCAACAGGTAAGGCTGCAGCGGCATGTTGCAAAGTCCATGCAAACCATCCTAGTGAAAAAATAGGAAATTCTATGAGAAATTTTTGCCCATTTTCTCTTATATCCTATGCTTTGTATGAATGGAGATGACTTTTTAGAATGCTCTACCTCTCTTTTCAAAGACTGAGTGCTTATTTGAATTTTATTGAATCACAATGAAACCAGGCTTTTTAGTCACATACAGAAGTTTCAAAATCCCAGACGCACATCGACAGATGCTCTGTTCTGGCACCCAAGAAAGCAGCTGTGGTGTATGCTACACAAGCACTGTATTATATCATGCTGTCCAGTCCTGCAGATTAAAATCCACACATCTTGTGTTCTCTGGCATCTAGGTACCAGGATTTTTCTTAGAACATACTCTATTTTATTAGCATTAAGGGTGCTTCAGTTTAAACAGTATTAATTTGGCTAAAGCAAGCTAGCTGACTCTTTAACGTAGCAGGCTAAAGGATAGCTCGTGTTTATGTTCCACATTAAGGACTTTCTCTTGGTTTCCCTTGTTATCAGAAAGTCCACTTGGCCCTTAAGACCAACTTAACTCTGATGTGTGACATTTTAGTTAAAATTTTCCTAGGCAGAAGAAATCAAAGGCACCCTGTTATATTCCACATGATTGGTCTAAGCCCTGAGTTACTGGATACAGGTCAACAAACATCCCTATTGCTCATTCTACCAGCACAGGACATAGACCTTACTTAAGAAATAACATCTCTGAAATTAAACAGAGACACTTATCTTCATCCCCTGTGTAAGTCATCCCAGGATATAAGAAGTGTTAAGGCATACCCTTTCCTGTCTTTATCTAGTTAGTTTTTAAAAAAACCACAGAACCACCATTACAGAGTTGATTTTATTCATTCCAGCCAAAGGTATCTATCCCTTTCCATGGGAAACAATGTTATTTTTCTTAAGATAGCTTGCACTGGTAAGTAAGTTAGGCATTGCAACTGTCCTTTGTAGACACTGCTTTACAGTCACATCTGAAAATACAGACTTATAACTTCATTAATAGTACCTTTAATTTTTTTTTAAGATATGTAAATCACCTGGTAGTCTCCTTTATCCAGGTATTTATCCACTAAACAGTCTGACAGTCAAAGTTTTGAGTTGTGTTATCATTAGTACAAATTGCTTGAGCTACATTTAGAAACAAGTAGTAGTGACAACAGACCCTTCCACAGAATAATATAAAAAGTGAAAGGATATCAGAACTGCTTTATAAACTAAAACTACTGTTCAAATGAATTTGCAGAGCATGGAAAAAGATTTTGATATAGTACTGAAGCAGGAGGCCCTCTTCCAAGAGCAAAAGAAGGAAAAAGAAGCTCTTATTTTGCAGCTGAACAAAGACATAGAAGAGCAGAAGCCAAAACTAGAAAGGGTTAAAAAACAGGTCTGTATATTCATTAATGATGACTTCTAACTTTATAGTGATAGACAGTAGTATGGTTAAACCCACAGAATTTAAACTTAGCAGGTTTCTGAAAAAGTGTTGCATTTTCATATTAGCAGTGCTTTAAAAGTATTTGTGTTAAAAGTGCTCCAGACTGTCCAGAGAAATTCAGTCTCTGAAGAAAACTAAAACAGAAACACAGGAAGAAAGAGACATAGATCTTCGTGAACTGAAAAGCTTCAACAGAACCTTCAACAAATTGTTAGCCGATGTTCTTGAAGCAAATCCTGATCTAACTACAGCCTTTCAAATGTACTTTCACCAGGTGAGCTTTCCAGGTAACTGCCACCAAAATCTTGAGTGACAGCTCTAGTCTACTGCTGAGTGTCTTTCAAGGGCAACTCCTAAATTCAACAATAAACTATACTTACAGTAAAACAGGAAGAAGTATTAATCTTTTGCCATCTCTTCAAATACAAAGGATTATGAACCCTTCTGATATACCCAGTCCTATTATACAACCATTAGGTCAACTTTTTTTTTCTTTCCAAACTTTTTAGTCTAATTTAGAGCTTCCACCAGTTGGTTCTGCTGGCAGTAGTCAAAGTTCTCGATCACCATCCACACAAAGTTCACTAGCTTCTACCAGGTAAGTGCTAGCAATGTTGTGGGTGGTTTGGTTTTATTTTTTTTAATGTTTAAACCTGCAAAATCATCCCTAAATAACAGAATTCCTCACTCCTGAAGGTCTTCTGAATCTCTATAAAAATCTTCTCCTTATACTGTCCTGCCTTTAAGTTTACTGCATTCTTCTAGCACACAAGTTTACTTCAGTATCCATCACAGTTTACTGTTTTATTTTAATGACAGAATAATTACATTTACTTTTGTGCTCCAATTGAAAAGTAGTTTTATATTATAAAAGCACAAGTTTGAGCTCCAGACACATTTTGCACTTAGTGGTGTGAGCTCCCTTTCCTAATTAAATAGGGCAGACGTGTATGCTCTGATAGCTTTTTCCCTGCTCAACATATATTCAACCAATAGTGCATGTACCGTGCTGAATCAGTTATGATCCAACATTCCTCAAGGTTACTTAAACGATTCATGGTAACGTCTATAAAGATCATTGTAGCAGATCTTACCTAGAATAAATACGGCTGTGGGGTGGCTTTATTGTCAGCCACCAGTAGCAGCTCTATTTTAGATACAGGGATCTCTGTCTACTGATGAGTAAACTTTTGTCTTTCAGATCCTCCAGAAGCGCAAGTTCAGGCTCTAGTCAGGCTTCATCACTCAAAGTCATAAACCTAAGCTTGCCTATCAATGTTCCTGCAGAAGCTGCTACTGTTGGTTCACAGCCAGCCAGCAGAGCTGGCACCTCAGATATTTTTAAACACAAAAAAAAGTCTTAAGTAATCTTTTGAAGGCCACAGTAAAGGCTTCTTAATTAATAAACCTGTAACTTAACTTCTTTGCCAATAGACCTTGATAATCTTAGCATTAATTTCTATCAGAAATGTATGTTTCAACTTTCTTTTACAGTATGCAATAAATTATCTAGGAGAAAGTGTTAAGCGTATGTTTCATGTAATAAAAGAAATAAATCTTTAAATTACTTTCTGACTTTGCTGGTGGAGAACTAAAGATCCAAAAAACCCTTCAGAAGCCATTAATTCACTTTTCTTACAATGAAAAGGAGAGTTATGTTAAAGCCAGAAATTTTAGTAAACTGGTATGTCACTGCTGTCAAAATAGTTTTATTATATTGCAACAACCTAGGCAAGCAAACATATGCTTTGTTTCAAGATCAACCTTGACTATTAATAGTCATCTCAGATCCTATTTTAACTGAAAGATGACAGTATATGATTGAAAACAGTGAAACTGTTTTTATTCAAAGTTACACAGTATCTTTTTTGCAACTGACCTGTATCTACAGCATTACTTGGAAAACTTGCAGCTGAAGCGTGGTTGATAGTGTGTAGTCTGCCAGGTATTATTAGCTCCTTAGTTTGCTCTGCCAACCACCTTTGGGGATCTCATTCGAAATGGAGCATAACTTTTCCCACAGCAATGCAACCACTGCCTTCAGGCTAGTTGTAAAAGCAAATATTTAACAATAAAAACAAACAAAAAACAAAGGCCCATACTGCAACTCACTCAGACAATAAACACTGTTTTAAAAGTCTCTCATACTTCAGTTAGAGTAAGGTTTTGTTTTTTGTTGGTTTTTTTTGTTGTGTTTTTTTTTTTTTTTACATTACTCAGACAATGTGTTTGATGCATTTAAAGAATGTAATCTGCTTGCTTTCACAGACACAGGAGGGTTCCACTTGCTTAAGCACCGTATATAATAACCAGTACACCAGTATGAAACATCCCTGCAACATCAACAAAAACCAAGACACAGAATTGAGAAAGATTACAAAAATTTAATGATCACATGAGCTATACATTAATGGCACATGACTCGCATTCAGTTATCCCCTTCCTAGAGCTGGAAGTTAAGTTTGATACAAAAATATCAACAGCCAATAGTACCCCTGGGAAGGAGAAAAACCAAATGAAACCCCTCTGTTGTTAAAGTGCATATCTGATGTGAGTTCCACAACTAACTACAGTCCAGCGCTATCAAAGGATTTCAACCCATCAGATAAAGAATAGTGTACAGGAACAGCCCAAGTTAAAAGCAAAGGAAACTCAGATTTTAAATAATAACTGATATTTTATGTAAGATATCCTTGCATCTCTTTCCACCATACAATTTTTACTTCAAGAATTCTTTGACATTGGGCAAAACAGAACAAATTCTGCCTATCACTCTTCATCTGCTTTTCCTCAAGAGATACTCAGGTAAAAGTTCATTAACTTACACTCATCAGAATAACATTTTCTCAGGTACTCTGTTTCTTCTGCTTACTTCCTTTTTCCTTCTCAAACTCAGCTATTTGATTGAATATGTTAACTAAGTTCTGGGGCAGGTTTCTTTTAACACCACTTTCTGTCTGTGCTGTTCCATTTAAAGACATTTCCTCATCTGGTTCCTTTGTTTTATTAGTCTCCTCATAACTTCTTTTCCTATCCTTACACTCGCTGTCATTTTTATGCTGACTTAACACATACCTATCACTATCATAACTTTTATCACCTTCACGTAAACAGGTGCTAGAATATGATCTGTACTTTCCCACTGACTTACCAGAATAGTCAGACCCTGCTGGAGACATATAATACCTGTCTTGACCTGAGCCATATTTTTTATACTGTTCTTTTCTCCCCTCTACGTCCCTTTCTAATTTCCTAAAATAACGCATCCTGGGTTTATCATCTGACTTATGATATGAACCTGAAGAACCCCTCCAACTGGAGAAAAATCTATCTGTCTTAGCATATTTTTCAGTTTTGCTACTACTTGGCAGAGTTCTGAAGCTACTGTAAGAATCTCTTGAATCTTCAGACCTACCTCCAAAAGTGTCTTCATCATCGCCTGAAGTCCTCGAAAAAGAACAGTGTCTGTCTTTCTCTTTTACCTCTGTTTTTGGACACACTAAGCTGTCCTGGCTTTCCAGCAGTTTTTCCACTTCAAAATTTTGGTTAAGAAAAGAAGCAGAGGTATCAGCCGGAGGCGAATACCACTCCTCCTTCCTAATCTGATCTTTATAATGGGAAGAAACTCTAGACGAGCATTTTTTGGAGCTGCGGGCAGACTCGGATCTATGCCGACGCTTTTTCTTATGCTTCTTGTGATCAGAGGAAGAGGAGGAAGAAGAAATTGATACATCTGATGATGAATCACTTGATGATGATGACGACGAGGAGGAGGAGGAGGAAGTTGATACTTTCCTTTTCTTCTTCAACCTAAAAAATGTAATTAACCTGTGAGATAACCTTCATTATTGGGCAAAAATTGTACGTGGAAAGCAAATCTGTACTCCCCAGAGTCTGGCCGAGATTGAACTGTGAGGCATGAATAGAAACTGAGCCTGACCTGGCAAGGCAACCTGAAATATCATTTCTTTCTTTATCAAAAAACTAAGATTGAATCCACTGAATGGTTTGTTATAAAAGGCATCTTTCCCTGTTTAATACGGCATTACACTTCACAAATACTCCTCATTGCAAAGTATTTTTTAAACAACTTCTCTTCCACATGTATCTCCATTACAGGTTATATGCGCTAAAGACTACCCACAGAAAAGATTCTGGAGGAAAAGCAGTTTACCTAGGTAGCAGTTCTACCTAGCTTACTGTTGGACAATCTGTTTGGAAACAGACTGTTCAGTCTTATCTGCCCTTATTGCCACATAATCAGTATACTGAACATAACAAAGTTACCTTTTTTCTTCTTTTAAGAGCTTACGCAATTTTTCTGCGCTTGATTCTACTTTCTTTTCTTTCTGTCTCTCTTCTTTGGCTGCTTGTTTCTCCCTCATTTCCAAAGATTTCTTTTATGAACCCAAGCATCATAAAAAAATCACATTAGAAGTGTTAATACGGGTATTTTTCCCCATGTCCCCAACCCCATTCAAATGTATAATTACACCAGGGATGTTTTACCAGGATTCCCACATCAAGAATTAATAGTGTTCAGGAGTTTGACATTGGCCATTGTGATAATCGGGTTTACGTTGAGGACCATTTTGCAGTTATTATTCCATTAAAAAAATGTATTTGACCAGCCATTGCAGTGGTACCCGTGATCCAGCACACCGTGAAGCATAGATCCCCAAAGGTATAGGTAGAATAGGCAGAATATGCAAGAAAAACACATATTACCAGCATGAAGAAGGAAAAAAAGAAAAAACAGAAAGGTTTGAGGGGAAGTATTATTGTAGTTTACAGGTAAAACATGGCAGAACCCATTTTAAAATGTATTTGAGTTAGCCACGTTTAAATACAAACCGTTTTGTAACAATTTCACAGACCCGTTTGATGCATAGTTTACGTAAGAAATCATGTTCCAAGGGTTTGTTGGTGATGAGCAGCACCAGATGTCAGATACAGCAACAACGGTCCAATTCAGAAGAAAATGCATTGGAGAAAAACACATAATCAGAATTACAGGAAAACACATTTCAGTGTTGTTTCAGCCATTCTAGCACAACACTGATAGTGTCAGACTTATGTATTAAAACACAGGTAAATGCAGAAGAGCATTTATTCTCACCAGATGAATAATCCTTAAACTAAGTCTATTGAGATCAGACTCCTACCACCTACAGCCCTAACGAATAGCTCCGTTCATATTCAGAGAGAGCAGAAAGTCTGATCATCATTTTCAAAACTTAGCAACTGTCTTAACAGATACAACAAAGGAAACCCTAAATTGCAGTTAAGGCTATGCAAGCCAACAAACAATAGCAAGCATGGTGTTTTTTATCTGCTCATTTTATCAATGACCCATTATACCAGGAAAATGCTAAAGGAGAAAAAAAAAAAATTATCTCCTACTTGTTGAGGATATCCTTCATTATTTTAACTGACATCTCTTTCTAAAGCAGTCAAACGTGGATAGTGCTCAAATGCCATACAATAGTTTATCTCTGATGTGGTTCAGTTTTGTTAAAAAGATTGTCATTATCTCCTCTTCCTTCCCCCTTCTTTCAACGCAACTTGTCAGCATTATGGCTCCACCAACTGAAGAAGTGTCGATTAGGGCCATCTACCCCCATCTATGTACTTCATTACATGCAGAAGCATAGAACAAAACAAGCCTGTTCCTCAGTGCTCTATTTTACTCTTTGATCCTCTCTGGAAAATAACACAAGTAAAGGAGGTAAATAAAAGATAGGACAACTCAGATTAGCACAGACCCAGCAGGGCTCACCTGGGAAACATGCTGCATACAACAGAAGAAAAAGACAGCAGAGAAGAAGGCTAGGACAAAACTGCCTGCCCACCTATCCTCTACTTCCCGCTGTTTTCCTTTAAATCACATCTTCATTTCCCCTCTCATGGGATCCTCCTATGAGTTAGCTTTGACTGGTGTTACTCTATCTTTTTGTAATTACCCCAAAATAACAAGGACCTGGCTGGTACGATGGCGTGCAATGTTTATTTGGCTTGCCTAAGCATTTTACACTTTGCATTCACAGAATGTTTTAATTAACATTGCTAATCATGCTCATGTGATGGAACATTCTTATCCTTGCTTTGGCTGACAGGGTTAACAGGCTTTGCTCCTTCCCTGCCTCCGCTGTTTTGCATTTCTTTACTCTCCTGTTCTAAACAGTGGAGTCATCAAGAGGTACCTTTCTTCTGGTAGGTACAGCCATAATGCTCACTATAAAAGATTTACTGTGGAGAAGGGAAGCAGAGAATAAGACAAACCATCAATTTAAACTCTCCCTGTTCAAAAGATTTAATATGATTTTTGATGTTCACTGTATGAAAAGAAAGTAAAGAATCACCT